ACTCGCCGTACGCTCATTCTCTCCATTGACTGATTTCATTCATGCTTCAGACGCGTCACGCTGAGGGCGTTCCCACTGCGATTACACGCAGCGGTAGTCCCTGAAGGGGAACTAAGGGCTCGAAGGGAGCCCCAGAAAGGCCTTCTAGAACTATTGCCAGGTCCCAAGCCAGCACCCTAGTGCAAGTTGCAGGCCTCAGCCTCAAAGTGCCACGAAGGAAACGAGTGATCAGGGGGTCGCGACCCAAAAATGTACTACCCACCAGGTGTGGAAAGCCGCAATGGCCGCCACGTATACCTTAAGCGTGGAAGGACATAGACCTGATACAAAGCGTTCTTGCAGAAACTCGAATACTGTGTTTACTGAACAGTTAACCGGATCCCACTGACGCTGGTAACACCAAGAAGTGAAAAACTCTCGAAATAGTGAATATAGTTTCCTCGTAGCGGGAGCTCTGGAGCTTAGAATGGTCTCAACAACCTCGGTTGAGAGACCACTCTCTATGAGTTGGGCCCCCTCAGAGGCCAAACCCACAGTTTCCGAATCCCCTGCCGGGGGTGCAATATTGCATCCCCTGCCTGAGACAGAAGGTCTCTCCTGATCGGGACCTCCAAGGGAGGTCCGTCGAGGAGAAAAATTAGGTCCGCAAACCAAATTCAGCTCGGCCAGGGTGGTGCTACTAAATAGGCTTATTACATCCTGGCGGAATCACTCCAGAACTCCTGGGAGCAGAGCAACAGGGGGAAATGCGTACAGACGTAGCCTCGGCCACGTCTGCACCATAGCAACCAGCCCCGAGGGGACTGGTTGAGTGAGGGATAACCAGAGTGGACAGTGCGTCGTATGCTGAGACGAGAACAAATCCACTTCTGCCTGGCCGTAAAACTCCCATATTTGCTCCACCGCCTCGGGGTGGAGTCCCCTGGCCTCAGCCCCTGCCTTGACAGGGTGTCTGCTCCAATATTCTGCCCCCCCTGGAATATACACTGCCCTCAGACAGCGTAATTTCCTGAGGGACCAAAATAAGAGGCCACCAACGTGTTGTGTGTGGGTCAAGAACCAGAGTTTCCTCCATATAATCAAGGCGCGGGGATACTGCCGCGTGATCTTGATCGTACGGAGTGGGTTTCCCCTCAGGGAGAACCCTCTGGTCCTGAGCCACCACTGTAAAGGTCTCATGTACAGCAGGTCAAAGGGTATCACATTGGACGCTGCTGCCCTGAGGCCTAACAGTCACTGTTCCAGAACAACACATGATGGCCCCTCAGGTCTGGGAGGAGATGTCTCAACGCATTGAAGACGACCATCATCTCTAGGCAATTCATGTGCCAAGCGAGATGATGACTCCTCCACAAGCCCTGAGCTGAGCGGCCTTCCAATACCGCTCCCCAGCCGGTGAGGGAAGCATCTGTCGAGATCACAACTCGATGGCAAAGAGCTCCCAACACCGGACCTTGGGTTAAGAACCAGTGTTTCCTCCATATAACCAAGGCGTGGAGACACCGCCGCGTGATCTTGATCATACGAAGTGGGTTTCCCCTCGAGGAGAACCCTCTGGTCCTGAGCCACCACTGTAAAGGTCTCATGTACAGCAGGCCAAAAGGTATCCCGTTGGACGCTGCTGCCACAAGACCCAACAGTCTCTCGAACTGTTTTACAGTGCATGACTGGCCTAGCCTCAGCTCTTTTATGGCTGTTAGGATAGCAGCTAGACGAACGGGCGACAGAGTGGCCCGCATCGTCACTGAATCCCATACCACACCAAGGAAAGTGGTTCTCTGTACTGGAGAAAGCACACTCTTCTTGGCATTGAGCCTCAACCCCAACATCTGCATATGAGCGAGAACGACACCTCGGTGCCGAACCGCTAACTGTTCTGATTCCGCTAGAATCAGCCAGTCATCTATGCAATTCAGAATGCGTATGCACTGCAGCCTGGCGGGGCCAGAGCTGCGTCTACACGCTTCGTGAATGTGCGGGGTGATAGAGCTAGACCGAAAGGAAGTGCCTGATACTGGTGTTCTTTGCCCCAAAGAAAACCTCCTGTGCTGAGGGAGGATGGAGATATGGAAGTATGCGTCTTTTAGATGTATCGTGACAAACCAGTCCTCGGATCTGATTTGAGTCACGATCTGTTTGAGTGTCAGCATCTGGGACTTGAGTTCCAGCACCAAACACTCCAACAGACGAAGATCTAGTATGTGACGCAGCTCTCCATCCTTTTTTGGAACAATGAGATAACGACTGTAAAGACCCGACGCAATGTCGGGTGAGTACACCTGCTCTATAGCTTTCTTTGCTAACAGGGCCTTTACCTCTTGCTCCATTACCAGAGCCTGCTCGGAATGCACTAACGTGAGCAACACCCCGTTGTAGCCTGGAGGACGAGAACCAAATCTGCCTCTTACTACTAACTGCAGGACCCATAGAGATATATTTGGCAGTAGCTTCCACGCTGCCAGAAAATCTACCAAGGGAACCAGCCCCTCGAGGCTGGCCTCTGGTGTAATAAAGACAGCCAGTTCGGGGACCTGAAGCGTACTGGCAGGAACCACCCGAACTGACTGTTTTCGAACCCCCCTCAGAGGGCGCGAGTCCGACGCAATGTCGAGTTGACGCTAAGCCAGAAGCTCGCTGGAGACCTCTGCGCCCCAAAGCACCAAGGGTGGCGGGGTTGGCAGAACGGTCCCCTGAGGGCACCGAGATGGAAAGGGCACCGTATAATGAGGTGTACACCATTCCACCCCGGTTGGGGCTGCCCTCACCGGTCTGACGCCGGTGGCGCCAGACCTTTTCTTTTGAGCCGCAGCCTTCTCAGCGTGAAGAACGGTCCTCGGATCCGGCTTCTGCTTTGAAGGCTTTGGCTGCTGTGTTGTGTATGAGAAACTAGATGGCTGGAGCTGCTCACGCCCAGCAGCCCCAGGGGGTTGGACATAGCGAGGGAGAGATTATCTTGAATCTTTCTCCATGATTCCCATCAAATTGAGCCAGAGGTATCTCTCAGTGACCACAAGGGCTGCCATCCCTGAGAGATAAACCTGTGGACCGACGGAGTTCTCAAACCCCATCGTGCCAAACTCCCTCACTTCTGTCCAAATACCGCAGCAGGTCAGCCTGATATGCTTGTAGCACTGCTATAGTGTGCAAGCAGGCTCATGCTAGACCCACTGCCATATATGCTTTTCCCACTAGATTAAAAAATAGTTTTCTTTAATGGTTTAGTGAGAGAAGCCGACGCCTTCAGGGACGATACTGAACCGGGAGACAGATAGCTCGCAAGCGCCTGTTCTACCCGGGGTATTGCCCCATAGCCATACTCTCTTAACCCCCAAATATCTGAATATACATGAATGTGGGGGCTAAAAGACAAGATGAGTAATGCTTTTTCCATGATCTAGACAGCTCGCTGTGCAGATCGGAAAAAATGGAAGGCCCCGTGATGGAGGTGGAAAAATAGAGGGAAGGAAACTCGTTCAATTTATTTTATTTTTAGGACGAGTGCCCCCTTATTTCTGCTGGCCATTAAATATTTAATTTATCTACAGCCTTAGTAAACACCTCCACCAGCTTATTATCTTTTTTATAGCTTATTATCTTCTTTATATATATTCTTTATATATATTCACTTTATTTTATATATAATATATAAACTATCATATATATATATATATATAGGCTATATAGATTTCTCATACGCTGGGGAAAGAGATGGCAAATCCACTTCCCCCACGATTGTGTCACTTTCAATGCCTAGCACATCTACCTCCTCGGAGGTAGAGCACTGAAGCATTGATTTCTCTCCCCGGGCTTCCGAGACCGGCGAGAGAGCACTGGATCCCTCGTGGAAAGGGAGGAGATAAGATCCGCGGACCCGTCTCCAACCCCGTAAAGAGATCCTATTCGCGATCCACAGGAATGCATTCTCCGCGCTGCCTCGGCAGACGCGGGTCCTGCACCCTGAGAATCGCGAGCCTGGCCACTTTCCTCGAAAAGCGCCAGGCGAGAGCGGAGCATGCGGAGCGGAAGCATCTCGCAATGCTGGCAATCAGCCCCCTCGAAGGCTGACACTGCATGCTCCACTCCCAAACAAACTACACAAAGCTCGTGTGTGTCCCCACCCATTAAATAACGCGGGCAGGGAGAAGCACAGAGTTTGTAAAGTTGTTTCACCATAACTCTTCCCAATAATATCGAACAGACAACAATAAATAGACAGAGACAGAGTAACACAGATCGCTTGCTGAGGCACAGAAGCTAATGCCGGTTTGCACCGGATGTGCTTTTATCCCTTCCTGGTCATGACGTCACCCGCCCGTGACGCTCATTCTTTCCATTGGACTAGTTGACATTGATGCTCAGACGCATTCACGCTGGGGGCGTTCCCAAAGCGTCGTTGACGCATCGCGAGGTCCCTCGAAAGGGAACTGACTTAATGTTAAGCAAGAGCTGTTATCTTCTGTCTGCCATTTTCTGTCTGCCATTTTCTTTGCACATAAAGAAAATGTTTGGCTCACTCATTACTCTTTCTGGTTTATTTACATCACATTTTCCAGTATGCTCAGCTAATGTTTCTCAGAGTTCCCAAACTATAACAATATAAACAACAAATACAATAGGTTCAACAACATAAGTAAATTTCCTCTGCAATATTAACAGGAACTAAGATAAAAAATAAAATGTATTGGAGAGTTTTATGTTCCGTCTCATGACAAACATATTGAATGTATATAATTTAAGCACTGTAAACTGTAAGCACAATATAATATAAGCACTGTAAAATAAATAATGTTGGAATCAAAGGTAGCAAATTTCTTAATTGCTGAAAGGTAAAAATCTTTTTTCAGGAGACCTTCAAAAGGCTTACATTACTGTTCTTGGCATTCAGTCCAGTTCAAAACCTACTGGAATATGTTGTATGTTTTGTAAAATGGAGATATTATCTAAAGTTGAGGACCTTAAGACAATGGCAACAGTTTAACCACCTATTTAAATAAAGCACATCAGAGCAACCGTAAAGGAAAACCAATTTGTTTCTTTTGAAAATAACTTCTAAATATCTTTTTTACCTCTTCTGTTCTCAAACAATAAATAAGGGGGTTGATCATGGGTGGTAGCAGACTATATATCATAATAATGACTAATCGCAAATCAGTGCTGAATTTTATACCGATATTGTTAGACAAATAATTAAATAACCTGGGTAGGAAAAAGAGAGCAATTATGATGAGCTGAGGACTACAGGTGGAAAAAGTCTTCAGTCTTCCTTGAGTACCTGAAATTTGCATAACTGCTGCAAAGATGGAGCAGTATGAAAAAATAATAAGAGCAAAGGGCCCCAACAGTATTGCAAAGGCATAGATGAGAGCTGGAAACCTATATGGTGTTCTGTCTGTGCATGCCAGTGTTGTGATGGAAAAATGATCACAGTAACAGTGTATAATGGTATTTTCTGTACAATAAGGGAGAGGGTAAGCGCGAATGACCATTGCCAACGGGCCTAAGGAGCCCAAAATCCAAGAGCCAAAAAAAAGAAAGAGCACATTTCTGTTTGTCATGATACTATGATATTGAAGTGGGTAACATATTGCTACATAGCGATCTATAGCAATTATTGCCAGAACAAGTGAACAGACACCACCTAAATAATGTACAAAGAACATCTGAATAAAGCAACCCAAGAATGAAATGGTCCCATCTTGGAACCAATACCTGCTAATTATCTTTGGTAATGTTGTGGTGCTGAATAATACATCACACACAACAAGATTTATAATGAAATAATATACAGGCTTCTGAAGGCTCTTAGTCGTTACAAACAATGTAAAAAATACAGCATTTCCCACCAAAGTAAATGCATAAACAAAAAACAGAAGTGCTGATACAAGGCCATAGTAATGAGGCTGAAGTCCAGGAAAGCCGACTATGACAAAATCCTTGACAAAGCTGATGTTTTCCATTGACAAGATGAATATTAGTCCTTAGAGAAATCTTCTTATGCGTCTCCTTTCTGTATGTATAAAATATATAATTTAATATTAGTACTATATATATATATATATATATATATATAAACTAGTGTTTTGACTTAATAATGTACTTGCTATAGAATACACTATAACTGTAATAATAGCAATAGCTGGATAGTTTAACAAATTATAATAAAGAATGAAAAGAAACAAACCTGTCTGTTTCACAGGCTACTGTTAAAGTGCATTCTGCGCCTTACACTGAGATATGCTGGTCTCAGTTTTTTTTATATATATCTGACATGTACATTGTAAAAAGTCTATGGCCTGAAAAACAGATGACGCAGTTGCTCCAGGGACAGTGACAAAATTGCCATGCAGTTTTTAACCTCTAAGACGTTACATTACAGTTCTACCAGCAAGACTCGGAAGGCAAGATGATATCACAATGACATTTATTAATTTATTAATAGACCAGAAAATGAAACCAAAAATATTGGATTGAATGTTTGCGTCATCATCTGTGAACTCAAACATGTATAAGTAACAATCTTTTATACTCCAAGTATTAGATAGTGATTGGATAGACCAGAAAGTAATGAGTGACGTAACATTTGAGTCTTCCTGCCAGAATTTTATGCCAGAGCTTTAATTTTTTCTCAATTGCTAAAACATTAAACTTCATTCTCTGAATCAAATGCTCAGTGGCCTAAACATATTTGTCAAATAAACCACTCTTTTGGCAAAACCTTAAACAAGTTCAGGTAGTTGTACACAATTTGCATATGTCATGCACTCTTTTGTGCAAAACTCTAAACACATTCTCACTTACTAAAACACATTTTGCACTGTGTTTTCTGTTTGTATTGTTTCTGTGTTCTCGTCCTGTGTTCAGTTTCTGGTTGCTTTGTCCCTTGTTAGTTTCTATAGTCACCCTGATTAGTTCTGTAGCCCTTGTTTCCCTGTGTATTTATCCCCCTGTGTTTCAGTTGTCTTTTTCAGTTGTTGTTGTCTTTGCTTGTGTTTGTGAAGCTGTTGCATTCTTGTTCCTGGATTTTGGATGTCTTGATCCTTGGATTTTGTTCCTGTTCCGGTTTTCAGGGTGGATTACCTTTGTTTTTGTGAAAACATTGGATTAGTTGCTTCAATTGGATTTTTGCCTCTCTGCATCCCTGCTGTCCCGTAACAGTATGACCGACCTGAGATGAATCCAGCAGCACAAATTATGCGTCTCAGTCAAGGAGATTGGCCCAGCGAGGACTATGTGGTGGATTTTATTGAGCTGGCACACTTGAGTTCCACGGCCGCCATGTCAGAGTCGCCAGCCGCCACGCCCAAAGCAACAAAGGCTGTCTCTGATATGACCACGGAGGTTGCCCTTCTACCTTCTGTCTGCCCTAATAATGTCATTGAGGCAGTCTATGAACTCCCTGCCAGTAGTTATAAGCCAAAGAGGACGTTGTGTAGATTTAAAAATCTTGCTTTCCTATGGAAGTAAAATAATGCCAAATGTTTTTGAAACAAAAAAGCCTGTTGAATTGCACTACTTGAAAAAAATATGCATTGCTGTGACGATTATCGGCTGGATTGCCCTCGAGTGCTACGAGAGGGCGCTCCACTTCTGTTCTGCCCTTCCTTGGACTGATCACGCGCACACACCCTGAACTGATTATGCACACACCTGTTTCCATTGATCACTCTCACACCTGCATCTAGTTCCACACGCAGCTCCACACACAGCTCCACACACATTTATACCTCACTGTCACTATCACTCGCCGCGTTTCCATTACCCTTCAAATTGCGTAAACTGAAATTGCGAATTAAAAATACGCTCAATGGAAACACGTCAATTTCGCAAAAACTCCCATTTATCGCAAAAAAGTTTTTACGCTCGCATGAGGTGGTTTTTCACGCAATTCGAAAAAGGAATATTTCGCAAAACTAGGGATGCACCGAATCCAGATTTGTGGGGTTCGGCCGAATACCGAATCCACTGGTGAAGATTCTGCCGAATCCGAAACCGAATACCGAATCCTACTCTCATCCTCAGTCCATTAACACAGTAAACACATTAATGAAGTAAACAAAGTGGATTTTTCATTTTATTTTATTACTGTAAATAATAAACACTACTTTTACTTTTATAACTGTAAAAAAAAAAAAAAAAAAGAATAAGCAACATTATGCATTTTAACAGCGGCGATGTTGTGTAGCCTATTTAGAGTCCTTGCCACCATGAGACAAATCGGCATTGCAAATTGAACATGTATCTCGACTTGAATTGCCTTCTTTCACTGAAGGTACTGCCAAACAACACTTTTTCTGCTCACGAGTTCTATTTTCACTTTCTCACAGCCTACTGCATTCGAACGGTCCACCTACTGTACGAGTGGAAATAAGGTGTGGCCCCTTTAAGAACTGCGCGCCGTATGTGTCGTGCGCCTCGAACACATGCCCATGTATGCGGGTTATTTCTGTTTGATGCTCATTTTTACCTTATTTTGTTAAGTAACGCTGTGGACGGTAGAACGTGTGACAGACAGTTACACAAGTTCGATTGTGGAATAAAGTGCGAGTTGTAAGATGCCAATCGCCTCCGTGAGTCTGTCTGGCGTCTGCAATAACTTTAGCTGTGAGCTAGCCCTATTTTTCTTCCTGACACAACGCGTTACACTACAGGCTTGTTCGACTTGAACCGGCGCTGCACAGACAGATCAGTTTATGACATCAAAGTCCCGCGAGAGCAATTCAAAAGCATGGAGCCGTCTGCTCTCTATTCGTTCACGCGGTACTTTGATGTCATTGACTGATCGGTGACTTCGACGTAGCGCGCGTAGTGCAAGCCTAGGGTTCGGTTCGGTGGGAAAAAATTCTGAGGTTCGGCAGAAACCGAACCCCGTTAAAAATCCCAATATTCGGCCGAATCCGAATCCGAATCCTGGATTCGGTGCATCCCTACGCAAAACTGCAATGGAAACAGTTTTTGCGCAATTACAGTCACCTGACTTAGAAGGCGCGTGTGTTTGGGGTCCGTGTAGGCTATTGCGTCCATTCGTTTTTCCTTTAACTCGTATGAAAAACGAAAAACATGCTTTCTTCTTTATTAGTTTTTAGACTGGTGAAAAAATATTCACATACAAACTTATTTTCCTTATATAGCCTATTGCTTATTTAATTGAAAATCAAATAGGCCTAATTGACATAGGCCTACAACTTTGCGAAATTTGATTTCTGCATTTCATTTTGACCCGGAACATTTAGATAATATGGAGCGTCTGTGAATAAATAAAATAGCCTAAATGAAAAAAAATCTGTGGCGACGGTTTTGCAATCCGTCCCCTCAAGTTTATAAACCGTAGGTAGGCCTACTCACGTTTGAGTACAAACTGTTCCCTCGATCGGTTTAACAAATCGTGCCCACGGATTAATAAACTGTAGGCCTATACCCACGATATCGTACTCGGTTACTAACGTAACCTCGGTTCTCTCTAGAGAGGGAACGAGTACTGCGTAATAGCTTACGCTAGGGGAAAAACTCTTTTCCGCGAGATATTGAAGCCAAAAATTATCCTTAATTTTTTATTAATGTAAAACGCTTTGCAGCAGCAAGCAGACATAGGCGAAACAGCTCGCGCGCCTATTGGTTGCTCTGCAGCAAATGCAGCAGCCTATCGAGAGAGACTCTGCGTGACGTAATGACCAATGGGGGCAATTCGCGCCCATATCGTCACGTCCCGCCAGAAGGGGCGTGGTCTCACCCTATAAATATGCTCGTTAGGCTGATACAAGCTGGTTTTTATCACTGAAGCGAACCAGAGCGTATTCCAAGCACGGCAAGATACGCAGTACTCGTTCCCTCTCTAGAGAGAACCGAGGTTACGTTAGTAACCGAGTACGTTCTCTTACGAGAGTATCTCTCGTACTGCGTAATAGCTTACGCTAGGGGAACACAATGCAACACGCCGTGCGTACAGGGATCCAACACCAAAGTCCCGGGGGCCGAAGCCCAGGGCTCATGTAGTGCATAATCACCATAAACTCACATAGAGTGGAGGAAGAGAGGCTGGAAGCGTCATTCCCTATAAAAAAGCACCCAGCGGGGCTATTATATGACAATAAAACGCGCAGCCAGGGTGAAAGCTTTCAGCCTGATCTGGGTGGCCATACGTGTGTCAACACTCATGGGGCTGCAGTAAACTCAGCATCTGGGCCGCACAGCGGGGCAGATAGCACTGAATTTTAGACCGCCAAAAGCTTAGCTTGTAAGGCGGGTACCTCCAGGTTATAGTATTTTATAAATGTAGACGGCGAGGCCCAGCCCGCGGCCGTACAGATATCTTGCAGGGAAACCCCGCTCGACCATGCCCACGAAGAGGCCACGCCTCTCGTGGAGTGCGCCCTGACACCCAAGGGGCACTGTAGGCCCTTCGCAGAGTAAGCGAGCGCAATGGCATCCACTATCCATCTGGATAGGCTCTGTTTTGAGGCGGCGAGTCCCTTGGAACGCCCGCCAAACAAAACAAAAAGCTGCTCCGTCTGTCTGAAAACAGACGAGCGTGACACATAAGCTCTCAATGCCCTGACGGGGCAAAGGAGACTCGCATCCTCCTCCTCACTGAGAACCGGAAGGGCGGACAGGGAAATTACCTGGGCCCTGAACGGTGTATTGAGGGATTTCGGGACATACCCGTGCTTTGGTTTGAGAATGACCTTCGAGTCATTAGGCCCAAACTCCATACACGACGCGCTTACTGAAAGCGCCTGTAAGTCCCCTATGCGCTTCACTGAAGCGAGAGCCATGAGAAACACTGTTTTGAACGACAGGTGTTTCATGTCCACCAGCTGGATTGGCTCGAACGGGGGGCCTTTCATGGCCTCCAGGACCGTGGAAAGGTCCCACGTCGGGACTGAAGGGGGCCTGGGAGGGTTCAGCCTCCGAGCTCCCCTAAGGAAACGCACGACTAAGTCGTTTTTCCCCAGCGACTGGC